CTGGACCTTCGGGTCCGCCTGGAGCAGGAGCTTCTGCGGGTGTTGGTGCTGAGACTGCTGCTGTCCCTCCTAGCGGTGGTCCTGCTGCGGGTGCTGCTGGTGCTGCTGGAGGTCCTGCCACTGGAGGTGCTGTTGGCGCTGGTGCTGCTGCTGAGGGTGCTGTCCCTGCTGTGTCTGGAGTCGCCGCGCGGCCTCGGCCGTACTTCGTTCCGCTCCTACAGCAGGTTCTTGGTCTTTCTCCTCCTGCAGCGTGTCCACCGCCTGTTCAGTCACAGTCCCAGTTAGAGCCCGCCTCCCCACTTCCTGCTCCCTCTCCTTACACTGGTCCCACTGGAGGTCTTGCTGAGCGTCGTGAGCCTGCGTCTCGTCCTGCGTCGCCTGTTCGTGCTGCTCGCGCTAGTGGTCGCGGTTCGCGTCAGCGTCCTCCTCCTGTCCCTGGCACGCACCGGATGTCTTTGCGTCCGTCCACTGCTCCTCTGCGTGCCCCTTTGCCTTCTCCTCCTGAGTCCTCTCTTCCTGCACTTACCGACCCAGAGTCCGACTCTCTTCGTGCTACCAGTCCTACTGTCACACGTCTCCTTGCTACTGTCGTCACTGACCCCTCTTTTGAGTCCACTGCTGCGTCTGCTCTTGTTGCTGAGCTCGTCGACTTTGCTGCTCGCTGTCGTCTAGACTACGCTGCCGGTCTTGTTGCTGAGTCTGCGTCTGTCTGTCCTCCGTCCGTCGGGGGTGAGTGTGCTCTTGGCACAGACGTCCTTGAGGACAGGCAGGAGGAGTTCCAGTGTCTGGCTGCTGCTTCACCTCATCTCGCGTCCGTACTACTTGCCCCTGAGGGAGACCCGGATGCACTAGACATCCCGACTCCGCGCTCTTACGCGGAGGCCGTAGAGGGTCCCTACTCCTCTCAGTGGCAGGCAGCTATGGATGCAGAGATGGCGTCCTGGAAGTCCACAGGCACCTACGTTGACGCGGTTCCCCCTCCTGGGGCGAACATCGTCAGTGGCATGTGGATCTTCAGGGTGAAGCGGCCGCCGGGCTCTCCACCTGTCTTCAAGGCGCGGTACGTCGCTCGTGGCTTCAGTCAGCGGCAGGGAGTTGACTACTTTCAGACCTTCTCTCCCACCCCGAAGATGACCACTCTTCGGGTGCTGCTGCACATAGCCGCTCAGCGCGACTACGAGCTCCACTCTCTTGACTTCAGCACTGCTTTCTTGCAGGGTAGCCTGCACGAGGAGATCTGGCTGCGCCGTCCACCTGGCTTCACTGAGACTTTCCCTCCTGGCACCCAGTGGAGCCTCCGACGGCCAGTCTACGGTCTCCGCCAGGCACCGCGTGAGTGGCACGACACACTAAGGACTACGCTTGCGGCTCTTGGGTTTGCTCCCTCTACTGCTGACCCGTCGTTGTTTCTGCGCACCGACACTTCTTTGCCGCCGTTCTACATCCTCGTGTACGTCGACGACTTGGTCTTTGCCACAGCTGACACTGCTGGACTAGCCTACGTGAAGTCCGAGCTGCAGAAGAGACACACGTGCACAGACCTGGGTGAACTGCGCAGCTACCTTGGCTTGCAGATCACTCGGGACAGAGCACGCCGCACCATTACCTTGACTCAGTCACACATGGTGCAGCAGGTCCTTCAGCGCTTCGGCTTCACGTACTCCTCGCCTCAGGCCACTCCTCTGTCTACTCGCCACTCGCTCTCAGCTCTGCCTTCGGATGAGTCCGTAGAGTCGAGTGGCCCGTACCCAGAGCTTGTTGGTTGCCTCATGTACCTGATGACCTGCACACGACCTGACCTTGCATACCCTCTTAGCATTCTTGCACGCTATGTTGCTCCTGGGAGACACCGACCAGAGCACATGGCTGCAGCGAAGAGGGTGTTGCGCTACTTGTGCAGTACGTCGGGCATGGGGCTAGTGCTTGGAGGGCGGAGTCCAGTGGTCCTCACTGGGCACGCGGACGCTTCTTGGGCTGACGACCAGGCTACGCAGCGGTCGTCGCAGGGTTACACCTTCAGTCTTGGTTCCGGCTCTGTCTCGTGGCGGGCTACTCGCTCGTCCTCTGTTCTCGGCTCCAGTTGTGAGGCTGAGATCTACGCCGGGGCCATGGCTGCACAGGAGCTTCGCTGGCTCACCTACCTGCTGACTGACCTTGGAGAGCCGCCTCGTTCTCCTCCAGTGCTGTACGTAGACAACAAGGCCATGCTGGCCTTGTGTCGAGAGCAGCGCTTGGAGCACAGAACGAAGCACATTGCTCTCCGTTACTTTCTTGCTCGTGAGCTGCAGCAGCGTGGTCAGTTGCGACTTGCGTACGTGGCCTCTGAGGCCAACACTGCTGATGTGTTCACCAAGGCACTTGCGCCTTGTGACCATCAGCGCTTCTGCACTCAGCTGGGTCTTGTACCTGTCTTGCCTCACTTGCTCTCCTCTTGACCTTGCTTGTACTGTCACATATATATACCTGCTCTTGCTTGTCTAGCTCTATATATATATGTGCACCCTGCACGTGAACTGGCCTTGTGGCCTTGTCGTTGTGCTCGGACTGTGTGGTGACTTTGTGATCCACCCTGAGCTTGCTGTGCTTTGCGTGACTGGTCTTGTGACCCCTTGTTCTCCCCCACTTTGCCTATGGGGGTGTGTCAGAACATATATATAGCTTATGCTGTTGTGTAGGCTATAGTGGGGTATCCCATAGGGGGTACAACCCAATTAGGGTTTCCTATATGTACTCACTTCATTCATAGTTCATTCATTCCTGTTTCTTCTCACCCGGGCCTTCATCCCAAGGCACCAGGTGTTCCAGGGTCACTGTAGCACGGTGGACGCTGTTGGTTGGGGCCTGCGCGAAAGGCTTCGCGATGCGACGCGATCGAAGAGTTTCCCCTCCACATATTTTGACACGCGCCCAGCCTTTGCGACCCAAATGGTAACTGCGAGCTTTTCGTGATCAATCAATCGGCAGGGAGTCAGGTGACCCTTGATATGACAGATGAGCCACTTCCCCGCCATGTGTGACACGACGCCAAGCCCTCCTGTCACCAACCCCAGCCAAGGCTCAGCCAAGGCCTTGTCACTGTCAACGCTTTGGCTCGGCACCGCAATTAGAGCAGCAACTGAGGGAACCGATAGGTTTGGCAAAGTACTGTCAAGGTCTAACGGCTACTTTGCCCTTGAAGTTCTCACTCCTTTTCCACCTCGTCTTACACCTCTCACCTTGTGCCTCCTTGATTGATCACTCCCCGAGGTTTAGGGCACGACGACGTCGACGAGGAAGCGATGGGAGGGGAAAAGGGCGGACGGAAACGTAGGGCGAATGCGCCCTACAACTGGAGCTGAGGGCGTCGGAATGGGGTCATGACGGCAAGCAGGACAGGAAGTCACTGCAGGGCGGCGGGTAGTTGACTACCATGGAGAGGAAGGTGATGCATGCGGCAAACTGGCGTTTTGCGCGGTCGCGCAGGGGTTCGACGACGATGCAGAGTAAAAGGCGGGGGCATCGCACAGAATCTAGATTTTTTTGTGAATTAAGCTACAGCTCTATTGGCTTTCTGTTCTACCTCTGCTGGTAAACTGGGAGTTCCTCGTACCATACGACCTGAATTACAAAAAAATCAAACTGTGCACAGCCGCAGCCGTTATCTCTTGTGGAGGGAGTGGTTGGGGCTCTCGCCAACCGAACCTGTGCTGCTCTACGACTCACTGTTTTTCTGCGGGAAGTCATCTGGTAACCGGAGAGGCTCGGGAGAAAAACTGTGGGCTCGGGAGGCAAACTGTGCACAGTTTGCCTTCCCTTTTTTGTAATTCAGGTCTTGGGCTTTAACAGCAACTAAATAAGCACGCACGAGCAACATCATCTCCTAGCAAGCACGCAAGCTATCTTTTATTTCGAACTCAATTGAACCTTTGTTATCCGCATTGCCTTCCTTATATTTCTCCCCGATTCAGCTGTTGTTGACTCCGCTTCAGCGCTATCCTCGTAGAGCCGGTTTGTCTCTCGGTATATTTCAGTTACTGCAAAATTATGGCTATCGAGACGGTCATTGCCGCTGTCCTCTACATCCACGTTCCATGCTTCGCGGAGGGATAACGAACCTTTATAATACAACCATCATTGCCGTCGTTTGCGTTACTCCTGCTGAGCCATTTTTGAGCTGACTAACCCAGGCGTTACTTTCCACGACAAAAAAAATCGCAAGAAACGACTGATCGGCGCGTGCAAATTAGCGGCGGTTCGGTCCGTTCTCGTTACAGTCGAATTCAGTCTCGCATATGGTGTCTTAAACCGCGTCATGGCACTCACCAGCAACGACTTACGGATTAGCACTGAGGCATGGAATAGGCAACCCATCAGTATATTCCGGCATACCCGGGACTCCAACGGAAGCTCGTCAATACGCCTCTTATAAATTAGCCATTGACATAAATTCCAGCGTCGCATCTCTTTCGCCTGGCGGACATACTGTAGCTTACAAGCCTCCTTCAGATCCTTCACGCCGCTATCAAGTTCAGATTCCTAACGCTAGCTCAAATTTTCCTCGTTTCTCTGGTTTTAGGAACCTTTCAGGTACTTTTAGCTCATCTAGGTTCGGCTTTCCCCTTGTGACCGACGAACCAAGAACTTCAGTCTCCACGCATGCCAGCTACACGAGGCTCGGAAACAACGGTGGTCACTCTAGGCTCGGAAGCAACGGCAGAATCCGCGGCAAGACCAGGACCAGCAGGCGCATCAAGTATGGCGGAAGTCTCGCTAAGGCCTGGAGAGGCAGCAGGAGCGGGAAGGGCTCCGTGGTGTGTGAGACGGCAGACGGCAGCAGCCCGCGCGATTGGGCTCTGGGCGACGATAAGGGACCCGGGAGGGGCGGCACGGGAGGATCCACGTGGGAATTGGAGGAATCCGAGCAGGCTCGCGCCAATTGCAAGCCGCGACGGGAGGAGGCCCTCCCGCTGCCTGGCAGCCGTCGATTGGTGGGCTATCGGACGGATCAGAGGGGACACGGGATGACCAAAGTAAACGGCTGGCAGAATGGTCAGCGATCTGGAAACGTGGACGGTCATGTGAACGGCCGTGCGATTGGGAAAGTAAACGGTCAGGTGAATGGCCGTCTGAATGGCCATGTGAACGGAAAAGCAAACGGCCAGTCGAATGGCTATGCGAACGGGAAAGTGAACGGCCAGGTGAACGGCCAGGTGAACGGGAAGGTGAACGGGAAGGTCAACGGCGAGGTCAACGGCGAGGTCAATGGCAAGGTCAACGGCCAAGTTAACGGTAAGGTCAACGGCCAAGTCAATGGCAATGTCTACGCTCAAGTCAACGGCAAGCCCAACGGCCACGTCAACGGCCAAGTCAACGGCCAGGGACCGACGATGGGGCAGTACGAGTACCCGTTTCCGGACGTGATGTCGTGGGCGTGGGACGCGGACAGCAGCGCGTGGAGCCACTTCGAGAACGACAACGCTCCGTCCGGCCAGCAGCGCCTGAGCGACGACGAGAACGGAAATGTTGATGCGCACGAGACAAAGCATAGTGAGTCCGGCGCCGGCGGGCGCGGAGCGGCTGCTGCTGCTGCTGCTGCGGAAGCGGGGATTGCGGAAGGGGCGCTTGAGGTTGCGCGCGCGGTTGCGCTGCGGGCTGTAGCGCGGATGGTGGCGGTACTGGCGGTGTTGCGGTCCGCGTTGCCGTATGGCAGCTGGTGGCGCATGGAGGGGAATGCGGAGAAGAACATGGGGTGCGAGGCGGCGGCCGGTGAGGGGAAGGGGGAAGGCGGAGCGGGGGCGGCGGAAGCTGAGGGTGTGGGGAGCCTGGGGGATGCGGGTCGCAAGCTGTGGCGATTCTGTGCTCCGGACAAGGGACTGGTGGCGGTGGCATTCGTCTTTTTGTCGCTTGCCGCGGTGAGTGGCTGTGGTTGGAACGATATGGGATGCGTGGCATGAGAACTCATTTTTGAGAAGTTTCAAAAGGAATAGGACATGGGGACTGCACGATTATGGTTTGCTAGTCCTTGCATGAAACGGTACCAGTTTCATGTGTATCTCCGTTTGACTCGCGTCGCCCACACGACTGTCCGTCCGTGCCACGTGGCAGATATCGGAGGTGACGATCCCGCATCTGCTGGCGTCGACCATCTTCGCGGCGTCAAACAACATGGGCGCACAGTTCGCGCACAACGCCAAGCTGCTCGTGGCTCTCACTCTCGCCTGCGGCGCCTTCAGGTGCGTCAGTGTGTGCGTGGGCTGCGCAGACGTGAGTGTTGAGTAGACCCAAGAGTCGCATCTGCTAGCGTCGACCATCTTCGCGGCGGCTAACAACATGGGCGCACAGTTTGCTCACAACGCCAAGCTGCTCGTCGCGCTCACGCTCGGGCCTTCAGGTGCATGCGTGCGTGGGCTGGGCTGTCTGTACGGAGCACCCATCTGCACTCTCATGCACTCGCACGCACCTTTAAGCACTCGTATGCCCTCATGTAGTGGACGCTGAGGCACGCTTGCTCTGTTTCGTAAGCTCCAGCATGCACGTGGTATGCCGCTTGCTCACTCACTCACTCCTGCGACCCTTTTCTCTTATCCCCCTTTCCCCCTCCCCTCCCCGCTTGGCACGCAGTGGGCTGCGCTCCTTCTGCTACACGGTGCTCAACATGCGCATGGTGTGCCGCATGCTCACTCACTTCCTCCCTCGCTATTTTTTCTCTTTTCCCCCGCTTCCTCCCTTCTCTCTCCCCCGTACACAGTGGGCTGCGCTCCTTCTGCTTCACGGTGCTCAACATGCGCATGGTGTGCCGCATGCTCACTCACTTCCTCCCTCGCTATTTTTTCTCTTTTCCCCCGCTTCCTCCCTTCTCTCTCCCCCGTACACAGTGGGCTGCGCTCCTTCTGCTTCACGGTGCTCAACATGCGCATGGTGTGCCGCATGCTCACTCACTTCCTCCCTCGCTATTTTTTCTCTTTTCCCCCGCTTCCTCCCTTCCCTCTCCCCCGTACACAGTGGGCTGCGCTCCTTCTGCTTCACGGTGCTCAACATGCGCATGGTGTGTCGCATGCGAGAGGCGCTCTTCTCAACCATCATGCACCAGGTATGTAAGGGGTCCCATCCCCTCCTGGCAGCGCCCTCTGCCCCCCCTTTCCTCTGTTGCCCGGCGCATGACACACCACTTGCAGGCGTTTGCCCTCGGCCATGCTGCCTCGGCACGTACCCCACCTCTCCCCACCCCTTCCCTCCACCTCTCATTCCCTTTCCCCGATCAACACCCTCCCTCCCTCACAGGACGTGAGTTTCTTCTTTGACAAGGAGTCGGTGGGGGAATCTTAGCATTAAGACGTATCGACCCCCCTCCCCCCCTCTCATCTCCCCTCCCTCACTCTTTCCCCCTCTCTTCCCCAGGACGTGAGTTTTTTTGACAAAGAATCAGTGGGCGATCTGACCTCGTGGCGCAGAGCACAGCGGGGGACGTCAACGTCATGCTGCGCTTCCTGCTCCCCGCTCCTCCCCCTCCGCCTTTCCTTGCGCATACCCCTCCATTCCCACAGACTTTCACTGGTGCTGCTGTCTTAGCGCGTACGTACCTCTCCTCACCCCTCCGCACTCCTCCCCACCCCTCCCTCCCCTTTCAGGACGTGAGTTTCTTTGACAAGGAATCAGTGGGCGACCTGACTTCACGTTTGGGCGCGGACTGCCAGCAGGTGGCGCAGAGCACGGCGGGGGACGTCAATGTCATGCTGCGCAACGCGCTGCAGGGGGCGGGCGCCATGTGCTTCCTGCTGCGCCTCTCCTGGCGCATGGCGCTCATCTCCGCGGGCCTCTGCGCCCTCATGTGGTGCTGCCTCGTCGCCTACGGCAGGTACGGTGGGCTGGCAGGTGGGGTTGATTGTCTTGTCGTGTATGGCAGGTATGGACACGGGCCTGGGGCAGGTATGGGTGCTACAGAGGGTGAAGGTATTGTGGGTTGGCAGGTACGGTGGGTTGGCAGGTACAGTGGGTTGGCAGGTATGGTGGGTTGGCAGGTATGGCTGATGGGTTGGTCGATTGACAGGTGTGGCGTGCTGATGTGTATTTTGTGCGTGCTGATGTGTATTATGTGCGTCAGTGTATTGTGTGCGTGCTGATGTGTATTGTGTGCGTGCTGATGTGTGTTGATCTGCACTGACACGTGTCTGCAGGTTCCAGAGAGAAAGTGCCCGCCTTATCCAAGACACAGTCGCATCAGCCAATGAGGTGAGTGCATGTCTTTACGAACACTCCTCCACTGCACTGTCCAACCCATCTCCGTGTCTTACCAGCATCACCCTGCCTTAGTGCCTCCCAGCCTGATGGCCGCGCTTTGCCTAACCGCCTCGCCCTCCCGATCTCCGTTGGCCCCCACCATTGTGTCACAGGTCGCGGAAGAAACCATCTCGCTGGCTCGTGTGGTCCGCACCTTTGGCACGGAGCAGCAGGAAGTCAACAGGTGGGTGCTGCTTGGTGCTCCTGGGTGCTCCTGGGTGCTTCTGAGTGCTCCTGGGTGCTTCTGGGTGCTCCTGGGTGCTTCTGGGTGCTTCTGTGTGTTTTGGTGCGCTGATGGGTGCTGATGGCTGTTTCTGTGCTGTTGTGCTGCTAATGACTGCTGAAGGCTCCAAGTGTGGCAAAGAAATACAAGGTCTCTTATTCATGGGCGAGAAACAATGTTATCTCCCAACCTAGCCACCAGGTACAAGCTCCCACTGCAGTGTTTTTTTGTTCGATTGTAACATTGTTCTCTCTCTCTCCCTGTCTTTCCCACCCCACCAGGTACAAGGTGCCACTGCAGCGCCTGCAGCACGTGGGTCTCAGGCGCTCTGTGGCGTATGGCATGTGGAACTTTGGCGGCAACACCATCTACAATGCCACTCAGGTAAGGCGATGCTGTGCCATGCCATACCGCGCCATGCCATGCCATGCCATGCCATGCCATGCCATGCCGTGTCGTGCCAATCCGTACCATACCGTGCCGTGCCATGTCCAGCATGTCTCTGGTTCTCCCTTCCCTTGCTTTCTCCCCTTCGCACAACCCTCCAGGTGCTCGCACTGGCCACTGATGTTGGGGGCGGTCACAGCAGAGCAGCTGCCCAGTTCCTTTCCCAACGCGTTTATCATACCCCTGCGCCCACCCCCCTGTCCTTCTTTCCACCCATCTCAGGTCCTTGCTATAATCATGGGAGGCAGTGCAGTGATGTCGGGAGCCATCACAGCAGAGCAGCTGACGCAGTTCATTCTGTACGCCGAGTGGGTCGTGCACGCCACCTGGTGGGTGGGCGACCACTGGGCGTCCCTCATGGACTCCCTGGGCGCCTGCAGCCGCGTCTTTCAACTCCTGGACCTGCCATCCTCGCCACAGCTCGCACAAACCAAAGGTGAGCTCGCACAAACCAAAGGTGAGCTCGCACAAGCATAGCCCCACATATCAGATCGCATTCCTAGGCCTCATGTGCACTGCACACCATGCCACGCCACCTGGTGGGTGGGCGACCGCTGAGCATCCCTCATGGACTCGCTGGGCGCCTGCAGCCGCGTGTACCAGCTGTTAGACCTGCCACCCTCGCCACAGCTTGCAAAGGCAAAAGATTAGCTCGCACAGGCCAAGGTTAGGTCACATCAGGTCACATGCCTAGTGTTTTTGAAAATTCTCATGTTTTTGAGGGTCTTTTTGATAGTTCTCAAGGTGTTTTGAGGGTGTTTTTGAGAATTCTCAAAAACACCCCGCAGCTCGCACAGGCCAAGGTTAGGTCACGTATCAGGTCACATGCCTAGCCTTACATGCATGCCGCACGCCACATGGTGGGTGGGTTGGGCACTTACTGAGCGTCCCTTAGGACTCCATGTCCCCCCCATGCCATGGTCCCATCCCATATCCATAGCCCCATGCAAACCTTCATGCATGATTCCTCCATGCGTTCACGCCTTGACTTGACGCCACAAGCTCATGTCTGTGTGCGCTGATCCCATCCCCTCCCCCTCCCTCCCACCGTGCGTGCTGCCAGGCTTACAAATGCCATGGCTGCAAGGCAAGATTGAGTTCCGAGATGTGTCCTTCCGATACCCAACCCGCCCTGAGGTGCGTGCTTTTCTTGAACTTGCCTGCTTGGAGCCAACTTCATAGTTGCTTGGCGTGTCCATCAAATGGCAAGTCATAATTTCGACTAAACTGTTTTAAGCTTCTCAAAAGTGTCTACCAGGCATACGGCATGTGATGGACAAATAGGACCATCGTGTTGTTGCTTCACACTCCTCTAGCACCTTCTGAACGCCCCTTTGCCGGCTAGATCTGTGAGGGTTTTTAACGTCCCCCTTCCCCCTAAAAATAAAATAAAACCTGACCGTTGCTGAAACCCCTGCTGTATCTTGCCTCTCCTCCAGGCTTCTGTGCTGTCCCACGTGAGTCTCACCATCAACCCCGGCGAGCTGGTGGCACTGGTGGGGCTGAGTGGCAAAGAGATGACTGTTTCTCACCTCTTTGCATATCCTCATCTTACTTCAATCCACCCTTCCGTTCGCCCCTTATTCTTCCTGCAGGCTTCTGTGCTGTCCCATGTGAATCTCACCATCAATCCAGGCGAGCTGGTGGCGCTGGTGGGGCTGAGTGGCAGTGGGAAAAGCACTCTGGTGGGGCTGCTGCAGCAGCACTACGAGCCGACTCAAGGAGAGGTGAGGAGGGGTTCTGAGATTTGGCAGGGGGTGAGGATGGGCTCTGAGAGATGGCAGGGGTGAGGAAGGGTTAGGTGACAAGTTTTTTTAGGGTTCTTGAAACCTGTTGGTGGGGCTGAGTAGCACTGGAAGGAAGGTTTTTTGCAGCAACACTGTGACCCCACAATGGAGAGGTGAGGAGGGGTTTAGGGATGTAGCAATGGGTAAGGAGCGGTTTTGGGAGGTAGCAACAGGTGAGAGAGTAAGGCTTGGATGCCCAAGCCCCAAAATGCAGGGCTGTTTTCTCTGTTTCCGTGTTCCCATCCCCTCGTTCCCACCCTTCTCCCCATCCCTGTTTCGTTCCAACCCCTTCCCCACTCCTTTCTCTTCTCTGGTCCAGATTCTTCTGGACGGTGTTCCTAGATGGTGTTCCTGGACGGTGTTCCTAGACGGTGTTCCTAGACGGTGTTCTTGGACGGTGTTCCTGGACGGTGTTCCTAGACGGTGTTCTTGGACGGTGTTCCTGGACGGTGTTCCTAGACGGTGTTCCTATACATGCGACTTTTGAGTCGACTCAAAACTCACCCGTTCCCCCCTCCTCTTTCTCCTCTCTTATCCAGATTCTTTTGGACGGTGTTCCTATAAAGGAGTTTGACACTAAGTGGCTGCGCGGGCAGATGGGGGTTGTCAGCCAGGAGCCTCGTCTCTTCAGCACAGATGTAGCAGCAAACATTTCGTACGGCTCGGGCAGCCGAAAAAAGAGCCATGAGGAGATCACCCGAGCGGCCTGCGCGGCCAACGCGCACGATTTCGTTTCGGAGCTGCCCGAAGGGTACGCTACAGTGGTGGACAACTCGCGGCTGAGCGGCGGGCAGAAGCAAAGAATCGCGATTGCCCGAGCGCTGGTGCGGGACCCAAAGATATTGATTTTGGATGAGGCGACGAGTGCGCTGGATGTGGAAAGTGAGAGGAATGTGCAGGGGGCACTGGATGAGGCAATGAAGAGGGGGAAGAATGGCCAGCGCGATCGTACCGTCATTGTGATTGCACACAGGTGAGTGTGGTTACACGCATCATGGTGGGTCGGAAATGGTGTTGTGACTCATGTTGTATGGTTGACTGACTGCATTGGCTGTCGTTGCATGTGCTGCTCCTTCGTTTTGCTGAAATATGCTTTTCCATGCTCCATCTATGAACCCCGCTCTCTGCTATTGTGCATCAGGCTGTCAACGATCCAGGCAGCAGACCGCATTGTGGTGATGGCTCATGGCAGGATAAAAGAGGTGACGGCTGTGCAAATGTCTATTGTACACATCTGTATCATTCATTTAATCAGTTTTTTTTTCTTCGATGGCCTGTTCATTCAAATGATGATAAAGAATTCAACATGTTGCTGCCTTCTCGTTTTCGACATGAGTTGATAACGCCCTTCCATTATTCTGGTCTTGCTTACGGTATATTTGATGTTGTTATGCCAGGTGGGCACACATGCACAGCTCATGGCCAAGGGTGGTGAATACGCAAGGCTGGTGAACATGCAAGACCATACACCAGCATTCGCGATGCCTTGAAGGCCGCTCCTGCCTTGCCATGCTTTCTTTGGATATAAGGCTCCTGACGTTTCACCAGTGTATATAGCTGTCGCGGAATCTTAGCGAGCCTACCGCCTGATGTGGTATACTTTTGCTGGTAATCCTTTTTTTGTTTATGTTTTTGTAGGGTGGGATGGTTTAACGTAAAATCTGGAAGTAGTATAAGCGTGTAAGGAAAATCCCTTTCCGTTACCACTCGCGACATTCGCACCCCACAATATTCCGTTACCACTCGCGACATTCGCCTCGACACCATTCCCGCCACTGTTCACGATGCGACCCAACCTCACGGTTCGGTTGGTAACCCGTGCTCCGGACCTCTGCCTCGACAGTCCCCCAACCTCGGCACCAGGCCCGTCGCGCACCCCATTTTTCACACGTTACTGTTACCACCGTAGCTTCGCTATATATTCTTCGCTCATTGTATCTTGTCTCGATAGTGCAATCCTCGCTCGCTCACTCAATTGCACTCGTAACACCTGGTTATCAGAGCCTACGATCTTCTCTCGGACCGCACCCACACCTTCGCTTCCCCACTATCTCAATTTTGGGGGGGGTAGACGTCTCTCAGCGACCAAGCACCGCCGCTCGTAGTGCTCTCTCGTACGCACGCACGGCCACGACAGAGGCTCTCGCTGAGCTTGCCCGACACTCCCGCCATGGCTGAAATCACCCTCGCGACACTGACGCAAGAGCAGCTCGACCGTCTTGTACGCCAACTCGAGGATTCGGCCCTCGAAATCGCCACACTCACGGCGGAACGCGACTCTGCTCGCCAGCAATCGACAGTGAATGCACCAGCACCAACAATCGCACCTGCACAATCAGAGGAGCCGATCGAAATCTTGTCAGGCACACCAACACAACATGACAGTGTGGGACAACGCTCAGGCATAGCCAGTGAAGGTGCCGCTCACTCAATGCCCGGCATGGAGAGAAACAGGGCCGCACCAAGCCCGCGGGAGCCCCGCGAAGCCCGTCGGCACGTGGAATTTGCAGTGACAAGCGGCGAGTATGCCGTCACGGCACCAATGCCACTCAAGCCGCAGCGTCCGCCCTGTTTCGACCCGAGCCAACGTGGAGGTCCGACGATTCAATCGTGGTTCTTCACGATGAACGTCTTTTCGACGCGAATTACCTCGAGTCGGACGCAGCGAAGATTCGCTACGCTGTTTCGCTGCTAAGGGGCCCCGCCATGGACTGGTGGCGAGTCATCGTGACGTCGCCACGCGCCTACGAGCCACCGTCGCAAGAAGACGGGCCCACGGGCCCAGCCGTCACCTGGAGTTCATTCTACGAGACAGCCCAGTACAGCACGTGGGATGCGTGGTGCGCAGGGCTTCGGGCGCGTTTCGAGCCGATTGCGGCTTCGATTTCGGCGCGTCAGAAGCTGCGCACTTGGCGGCAGCTCGGGTCGGTTCAAGACTACACGAGCGGTTTTCTTGCACTATGCGAACAAGTCGGCTATATGCACGAAGCGGAACGGGTGGACCGTTACGTTGGAGGGATAAAGCCGGACATCTTGAATTTCAACGAGATCCTCGCGCTCGCCGAGAAAATCGACATCCTACGACGACCGAGACCGGGGTCCTACTGCGGACAACATCCTCGGGGGCCGATCGAGGACGCCACCGTACACGCCGTTGCGACAAATGCAGCTACCACACCGTTTAAAGGGCGCTGCTTTGCTTGCAATAGGCCGGGCCATCTTAAGAGTGAATGCCCAGAGGAGTTGAGGTGCCGCGGAACAGAGCAGGGGTGAGAGTCTCAGAGGCCGGGAAACGCCAGCAGTCAGTAGAAGATGGGCCAACTACTGACGAGACTGCCTGCTCGCCCAACTTCACCGACCCTCACCGAATCACAGTACCGATTCACGCTATCGATCGGGCTCGGACGAATAAGGAGGGTACAACGACGGATTGCCCCGTACTGATTCACGGGAAAATACAGGGAGCAGCAGTGAAGATTTTTATAGACGGAGGCGCAAGTCACAGCTTAGTTAATACCGCGACTACAAGGAAGCTGCAACTAACACTTAGTCGGTGCTTACCGGAGATAGATGCACGCTTAGTTGACGGAACGCCGCTGGCCATACGGGAAAAAGTGGAGAGAGAGTAAAAGTCCGCTGTGGGGGGAACTTTGGGTTTACACAGGAAATGCTCGCGACGACATTGGATGGGCACGACATATTACTGGGACGTGATTGGCTGCGACGATACAACCCGCGAATCGGCTGGACGACGCGTAGCTGCACTGTGCGAAGTAGCGGTAACTGGGTTGAACTACCTCGCTGGCAGTCGCCCGACTCATCAACGGTTCACGTCAACGCCATCACAATGAAACGGGCTGTCGCCGCTTGAGCTGACGTGTACGCGGTAGATATCGCGATAGTGGAAGAAGCAGAACAGCCGAGCGATTTCCAGAAATTACTGGCGGCAGTACCACCCGAGCTCCAAGAACTATTGAAATTCCCGGGGATCTTTCCCGATGACTTACCGGAGGGACTGCCACCTCAGCGGGCGCATGACCACCGAATAGAATTAGAACCCGGGGCACAGCCAACCGTACAGCGACAGTTCAGACTAACACAGCCCGAGCTCGACGAGCTAAAGAAGCAATTAGATTACCTGTTAGAGAAAAAAAATCATCCGACCGAGCTCCTCGCCATTCGCCGCACCGATCCTGTTCACACCGAAAAAGGACGGAGATTTTCGCATGTGCATCGACTACAGGGCACTGAACAGGGTTACAGTCAAATTGCGATACCCCATCCCCCGCGGCGACGAACTGATAGATCAACTGCGAACAGCACGGGTCTTTTCGAAAATTGACTTACGAGGAGGTTACCATCAGATTCGGGTCGAACCATCGGACTACGCCAAAACATCATTTAGGACTAGGTACGTGTCATTCGAGTACACAGTGATGCCTTTCGGGCTGACCAACGCACCGGCGACTTTTCAAATGACCATGAACGAGGCGTTTAGACCACTCTTAGATAAATGCGTGATCATTTACCTCGACGACATTCTCGTCTACAGCCGTGACAAGCAGCAGCACTTAGCCGATTTAAAAGCAGTATTTACAGTTTTAGACAAACACGGACTACTGACCAAGGGTTCCAAGTGCGAGTTCTTCCAGGATAGGCTAGAATTTTTGGGGCACGTCATTTCGGAGGCTGGAGTGGAAATCGACCCAAAGAAACTGGACACGGTAAAAGCGTGGCACCCCCCGACGAACATCACGGAGCTGCAGAGTTTTTTGGGATTCGTTAATTACGTGTGTCGGTTCGTCCCCGACATGGCACGCTTAACTGCCCCACTGCCAGACTTACTGCGGAAGGGGGTCGCTTTTACGTGGGGGGAGAAAGAGCATGCTGCCTTCTCTACCCTGAAAAATGTTCTCTGTTCACCGCCCGTACTGCGCATCGCCGACCCACACCGCCCATTCGAAGTGGTTACCGACGCAAGCGACATCGCCATTGGAGCCGTACTACTACAGGATTTCGGCAACGTCTACAACCCATCGCACACGAATCACGAAAGTTGCACCCGCCCGAGAAGAATCACCCGATACACGATCTCGAAATGCTTGCGATCATGCATGCATTCAAAGAGTGGCGCTGTTACTTGACTGGCGCCGACGTGACTACGGAGATTCACTCTACAACGGTAGTGAGCTAGACTACGGGGGTTGGCACGAACTACTGGGAGTGATCGAAGCTTTGCCTAGTTCCTTAGTGCTTGCACAATCACGGGAGAAATTGGCAAGAGTTTCCACTAGCAAAGTTGGAATTCCACAATTGTTGAACAAGCAATGACAACAATGACTACATCAGGCACCTAGCAATCCTGCAGCTAGCCTGGTCGACAGACAGCACAGCATGGTCGACCGCCCGCCAGCATTGCGTAGAGGAGCCGCGCCAGCACTACAGAAAGGCGACCTGCCAAACACAGCAGGTCGATGGTGTGCCAACGCTGCAGCAGAACGACTGTCCAGCGTTGCCCCGTAGAAGACAGCAGTGCGCACGCTCACAGATGCGCGCAGACGATTGGCCCGACTTGCACCGTTGTGCATTCGTCGGCTGTTGTCTGCGCCTGACGAGCCACATTGACTTCGGGATACCAACCCGAAGTCGCCTTCGCCATTGCGACCTCGACGACGATTGCGTGCCTCCGCAGAGCTCGCCGAGCAGGTTACCCGGTCGACCTGGATAACCCCAAGTGCCTCTGGTCGACCACCGGGTCCCTCTGGTCGATCACAGCTCCCGTCGAGCTACCCCTTGGTCGACGGACCCCTTCCGTCGACCAGAACTGTCAGCTGTTGTCGACGAGCTCCCCTCGTCGACCGCTGCTCACTTCTCAGGTCGACGGACTGCTCCGTCGACCTCCCGGTCGAACAGCCCCTCTTGGTCAACGGCCCACCCGTCGCCCAGACCAGTCAGTTGCAGCTGTCTAGCTCCTTAGTCGACAGCAACACCACAGCAGTCCCCTGCAGCTCGACGAAGCCTGTCGAGTAGCTCTCCCACTGTGGATGGTCGGCTGCTACTCCCGTACATCCGACCAAGTCGTCGGCGTTGCCCAAGCGAGGGCGCGGCCAACACTTCACTCCCGTTAACACTCCCCTGCCGCGCTCACGCTTGGTCGCCCAGCCCACACGGCAGCACACTACGGAGAAAACTCGTCCTCGGCGTGCACCCCTCACACAGCACGCCGTCACCGCACCAGCCGTGCAAAAGGGCACGGCACCTACTGCTGCACATTATCGTCGCCGTCGCCGACGTCGACCAGACGAACTTGGCCGATGGCGACAAAGCACCGGTTGAAAGCCGGAAAGTGCAGCGCCTTCGTCAGGAAGTCTGCCGGCTGCTCGGTAGTCGGGATGTACTTCAGTACGAACATCCCGCGCATCACCATGTGCTGCAGCTAGGCATGGCGTCGCTCCATGTGCTTGAGGTTGCCCGTCAGCCCCAAGCCAGC